AGAAGATGAAGTTGGGAGAATCTGAGGGTTCCACTAGTAAATGGGTGTATTTCAAGAAGATGGATATGTTGCTGTCATCAGGCCCACAACAAGCAGGCCTATCGTGTGGAGTGGACTCAGGGGAGTATACATTCATAAACCCTAAAGTTTATCTGAATAGCTCAAATGGAATGGATGAGATGAGAGATAGTCCGGGGAATTCAGAATCCACCAAAGGCGAGGAAGGTGAATCGGAAGGTCTTCCTCCTAAGAAAACAAGGAATGAAATGGGTAATGGAGCTTCTCTTAAACTGCTTGCTGATTCCATCCAGAAATTTAGTGACATATATGAGAAGATCGAGAATAGTAAGAGACAACAAATGCTAGAACTGGAAAAAATGAGGATGGACTTCCATAGAGATTTGGAATTGCAGAAAAGGCAGATTCTAGAGAGAGCTCAAGCTGAGATTGTGAAGATACGACAAGGTAATGAAGATAATGATGTGTCAGCTTAGAATGTCAGCAGTTAATGTATCTTGTCGTCGTTGTATTGTATCAAGGGCGTTATCCCAGGATATAGTGATGTACGTGGATTATTGGATGCTGGCAGTTGTACTATGTCCAGGGTGTTAGCATCTGATGGTTCTTGATTTGCAGGTTAATAATACTGATTTGATGAAAACATTTGTTAGCATCATAGTAATTAAAGTTTTTCTGAGTTCATTCTCATTTAAATTGATGTCGTTTGTAATTGTTATTCTTGTAGCAGGATTTCTTGTATGGTGAATTCTTTTGTCGTTTTCATTATAAAGTTTTATGTCAGCTGATAGTTGTTGAGGACTACATTAACCTTTGCATATCCAATGACCAGACACACGTAAGCATTCCAATTGTACGGTGTTGCCTTTTGTTTAATTATTTAAGATGCCAATTTTGCTGCTTATGTAGTTTTTACTTAAAACTTCCATTTAATGTGATAAAGGAGGATACTTGAGATGCTGATTCAAATCTGTAGTCTTCTCTGGCTTTGGTAATTCTTAATTATTTTTCTGTGTCACCTTGATTATTCTATTTTCATCTATTTGCATGAGAGCATCATTCTTCAGCCTAAGTCACATATTCGGCTCCAGCACGCTCTTGAATAGGCAATTCAGGACTCTGCTTTCAAATAAATTTATACTTCCACCCATGCTCCTGCTCTATCAAATGGTTGACTTCACACTTTATTTGAGTTGGTGTGTACCTAACTTCAGGCATACAACATGTCATCTTTGATATGGAGTGTACCTTAATTTGCAAGGTTCATTAACGTGTCTGTAGAATTATTATTATTGTTGTTGTTGTTGTTGTTGTTGTTGTTGTGTCATAACTTAATGTGATTTGTTGCAAGATTTTTGTTGCCTCTTCAGATTTGTTTTTCCTATAAAGCATCGAAATTTGGAAGGGAAAGTAAAGTACAGTTGTCCATTTTTTCGTTATCTGAAGTAGCAACTACAGAGCACATGTCCATACCTCCTGCTTTGCGTGACATCTTCCTAGAACTATGTTGGAAGACAAAATTCTTGTGGTGGCAAAGTTATGGTGTGCGTTGTCACCTTTGGGGGTCATGTCCGCACATCGTAAAGGGAGATCCACAGGAAGGAGAACCAATTCCTAAATGTCCGGTCCAAGTGTGTATAAGCTGTGATCGCATCCGAATTTATCCTAATGGCGAATCAGGGGGAATGCCGCCACTTCTCAGGATTAGTCAGGAGAAGTTTGGACACTTGAGTAATCAAAAAAGAAAAAAAGGGGGCTCTCTTTAGGAGCACTGACCGAGGGAAAAAAGTGGGAAATTTATTCAGGAGATCTCCTATTGAGGTAAGTAGTAAATATGATTCAAATGGTATGTCTTAACAATTTCTGTATCTTTGCCAGAGATGTCAAATTGTTCAATGATTCTGATCTCTTAGATTGGTTTCTTTGTCCATAGGGGTGTCATATATCAGAAATGGGAATACTAAGGAGCATGTTTAGCTAAGCTTGGAAAAATGTAGGCATAGTTTTTGTGGAAAGTATTTAGAGACTTACTTTTGAGAAAGTGAGTTCTTAAACTACAATTCTTAAAAGCATAAGACAAAAAATTGCAAAAATGTTTGGCAAATAAGTTACTTAAAAGTAAGTCTAAAGCTTAGCCAAACATGTTTCTATAAGCACGCTACACTTTGCTATAGTAACTGTTAAATCATACGAGATCTTGGGTCTGAGATTTTGGTCTTGGCAAACCTAGTAATCTACAATAGATATGCACTGCTACTGCACCCATTTAATGACATAGTAGCCTACTGCTTTTAGTATTCTCCAAGTACACATTGCGTATAGACGTGTACCATTTTGTGTATATATATATTGTGTTTAAAACTAACTCTTCCAAAACTCTTTATACCAATATTTATCCCTTCGAAAGCATTTGCTACACCATAATTTAGGTAGAAATACCTAGGATTGAACAAAGGCAGCTCAACTCTAGTCTATAGCTGTAGAGACAGACAAAAGAAGCAAAGAATTCGATCTTTACTTCTAATTTTTGGATTTCCATACAAAAAAGAATTGTGAATCTGTAACAAAATATAAATTATTAAATACTTGGTTAGACCATGAGGAAACAAGCCCAGTAGGCATCAAAACAAGGTCTAGCAAACCAATTCAAGCTCTAAACAAAGACTGAAACTCGCAAGTGGACTATCAACTGTTCTTGATACTGCTTGTGTTACCATAGTTTGTGGTTCAAGAATCTGCTGTTAGGATATGAATATCTTTGAACAGATTGCTTTTACTTATTTGAATACTTGTCAACTCATTTTTGTTATTTTGTCCTCTTCAAAGAAGTAAAAGGGAGAGCCTCTCTCAAATTTTTATGTATGTTCATGCGAATTTTTCTACTGTTGCTTCATTTATATGATATACTTTTTGCCCTATTGACGAGTACCTGGAGCAGCATATGTTACCATTGAAGTTGAAAAAGGAATATAAGAGGATTGCAGTAGCCAGTAGAGATAATCTTACTTACTCATGAATAGAGGGTTATGCATGTGTGTTTTCCCTGAAAATGAAGTTTTCATTTTGCGGAATTAAGTTCAACAAACAGGTAAAGTTTCGAAAACTTCACATCTAGGTATCTGTCTCTTTGGTATGTATAAGATTTAGCTTAAATGAAAGAAATGAAACAAATAGAATTGCATAATTGAGGGAACATTTTCATTGCATTCAAAACTTGATAATTCACTATACAAAACGTCTACTATTTAACAAGAAAACAAAGGAATATTCTCATGCAATACAGTTACAACCAACTGGAGAAAAGAAAAGAAAATGCTATACAAAAGAATTAGAAAATGTGCTAAAACAGAATTGTCAGGCAACAAATTGGATCCGGTTTCTCCATTTATATTCTAAAGGCTTCTGCTGTTTTGCTTCCAGTGTGCTTTCATCCAGCTCATCTTTCACGTAGACCGGTGATGTTGCTGGTAGTTGCTGACTTGCATTTTCTGATAGCCTTCCACAAAATGGAGAGCAGATATCTTCTACTCCCATCTTGAGAAGATGAGAATAAAAACCTTGAGTGTTCAATGCCTTAGTTAAAAGATCTGCTATTTGCATACCACTGCTGACATGTCCTGTAACAATGCTCCCATCTTGGATCTTGTCTCGAATAAGATGGCAATCGAGCTCAATGTGCTTGGTTCTCTCATCGAAAATGGGATTCAAAGCAATATGGAGTGCAGCCGTGTTATCACATAATATAGTTGCTAGTTGTGGATAATTGATTTGCAAGTCACTAAGGAGATATCTTAGCCATGTTAATTCGCAACACAGACTTGTCATTGCTCGGTACTATGCCTCTGCTGATGATCTGGACACAACTCCTTGCTTCTTAGACTTCCAAGACACCAAAGAAGAACCTATGAAGACACAATATCCACTAACAGACCTCTTTGTGTTCTGGAAGGCCCCCCCAATCTAAATCACAATAATTTGTCATTTGTAAAACTGATTGTGAAGAGTATAACATGCCTTGCCCTGGTGTTCTTTTAATATATCTTAAAACCTTATGAGCTGCATTAAGATGAGATAACCTTGGACTATCCATGAACTGACTTAGCAACTGGACTGAGTATACCAAATCAGGTCTGGTTATAGTCAAATACAGCAATCTTCCAATCGGCTTTCTGTAAATTAATGGTTCAGGAATAAGCTCTCCTTGGTCTTTACAAAGTTTCAAATTTTGGTCAACTGGAATACGAGCTGGTGCAGTCCAATCTTACCTGCATCTGTCAAAATGTCTAGTGCGTACTTCCTTTAGCATATGTGTATGCCTTTATCTGACCTTGCTACCTCAATTCCAAGAAAAAATTTCATCTGCCCCAGATCCTTAATTCTGAATTCATCATGTAGAGAAGCTTTGAGAACATTGATAGAGTCTAAACAGCTACTTGCAATGATGATATCATCTGCAAACACCAAGAGGGCAATGAAAGAATTTTCTATCGTCTTTGTGAATAGACAGTAATCTGCCTTAGACTGTGTGTATCCTTTTTTGATGATGAAATTAGACAACTTGGAATACCGTTGCCTGGATGCTTGCTTCAGACCATATAGGCTTTTCTTTAGTTTACAAACCTTTGATCTACTATCATTTGGATGTCCTTCAGGGAGATGTATATAAACTTCTTCCTCTAGGTCGCTATGTAAGAAAGCATTGTTCACATCAAATTGATATAGATGCCATCCTTTAATGGATGACATTGCTAATAAAGTTCTAACAGTAACCATTTTTGCCACTGGAGAAAATGTTTCATGGTAATCAATTCATTCATGTTGTGTATAGCCCTTTGAAACTAGCCTGGCTTTATATCTTTCTATGCTTCCATTTGCATTATACTTTATCTTATACACCTACTTGCAACCTGTAACTTCTTTGCCGGGGGCAAATCAGTGGTAACCCAAGTGTCATTAAGTTCAAGAGCATCTATTTCAGCCTTCATGGCACTACACCTCTCAGGTGATTCTAAAGCTTCCTTAAAGTTCTTTGGTTCTATGTCTGCACTGATGGTGGCTACAAAAGTTTTGTGAGATGTGGACAATTTGTAGTAGGACAGAGTAGCTTCCAAATGGAAAGGCTTACCTGGTAAAATGCTGACCTTTTTCTTATCCAATTCCTGTGAATGGGGAAGTGCACCTACTTGTTGGCAAACAAAGTCTTGTAGGTGTGCAGGAGTCCTTCTAATTCTACTTGATCTTCGAAGAGAAAGTTCATTCAAGGACTGATTTTGGTTAGACTCCATATTGTCTTGTGAGGTGTGTAAAGGATGAGACAGATTAAGACTTGATTTAGGTAAAGGTGCTGAATTATGAGCTGTGTCTGTGGAAGGAGGACTACTTGTTCACTCAGTTTGATGGAAAGTTGCTGCAGGATTGATGGGAATCGAATTTAGTCACTGTGATGATCAAAAAATGACTCAGAATTTTCTGAGGT